GTTGTTGCTGAAGCATATAGTATGCAAACAACTACTCCATGACTACTTTTGATTTATCCCTCGATTTTGTCTTGCAATTCAAGAAGAAGCTAAAGAATGCAATTCAAATAATGTTAAATATGCTTTCCAATTATGTAATTTCAAAATGGGCAGAGTAGACATGCGATTTATCCCTAGGGTTCAATTCTTTTTTCTTGTAGACATAGCTATTTGTTTTAACCAATAAATAAAAGTGGTGATATATGTCATTGTCTTATTAATTGAATAAAATTTACTAAAAATAAAATATAGATCACTCATAAAGAGAGAAAATTAAAGAGTAAAAAAATGAATTTTTCGTAAATATCATCATTAAAAAAATAACTGTTGATGATTAAAATAAAAATAAAAACATGATGTAATGATTATTTCATCGAAAAAAATAATTCAATGCGTAAAATAGAAAAAAGATACAATAATTTGAAGGCTAATCATGTAATTTTAGCTTAAATTTTAATAAATATAATTTTTCTTTATATAATTCTAGAGTAAGTATAAGATAATATCTAATTTAAAGATTTTCATCGACAATAAATACTTGTATACATGAGTTACATAATACTCTAACCCAATACCTCAAAAGGTATCAACAATCGTTCAACCACTTGATTCATTCCTTCAACCATTTGGTTCAGGCTTAATAAACAGATTTTTATATAAGATGATTCCGTTGGATGTGATAAAATCTGTGTAATATGTCCCCATAGTAATTTTTTTTTCTTTAAAATTTTGAAAACAAAAAGGAAAAATGATCATGAAACCGAAACCCCTAACCCATTTCTATTGGCATTCAATAAATAGAACCTAGAAAGTTTAGGCTGGAAATTCCTTCTCCTTTGCGTGTTAACAGCGCTCGATCTCGACGGCTTCGCGCCTTGAAGCAGAAACGCCCTGTGGGGATTTGCTCCGGCAATCAAAACTAATTCTCTATAATTCGACCAGGCTCGCACCGCCGTGGCTCGACGGGCGGGGACAGGTGCGGGTGGGTGGTTGAAACGACGATGTTGGCTGCACTTGAAGGAGCCAGGGTGCTTGGTTGGCGAACACAGACAGGTACGAGTGTGGGATTTGGTGTTGGGTGATGCAGCCTTTGACGCCATGGGAGAATGATTCTGAATTAATGTTGATGGTTTCGGTGACAAAACTGATTAAGAAAAAGAATGTTTCAGAGGGGTTTTATAGATTTGAAAACTTGTTTAATTTTTTCTGATGTGATAATTTTTTTAAGGCATTTCGGGTAAATAAGGAACAAAGGGAATTAGTTAAATAGAACAACGATGCATGACAGTGAAGCACTCTCCAGTTTTAACCTAATAATAATGTCAACTAAAGACACCTATTAATATTGCCCCAAAATAATAACAAATAATAATAAATCTCTTAAAATCCCTACATTTTAGCTTAAACCCCAACAAGAAACATATTGTAACTAGCTACATATCTTTTAGAGAATTTGTATTTAACTTTGATATTTATGTGCAAAGAAGTACCCAACTTTTTTTAATGGCGCATTTAGGTATCTAACATTTTTTTAGATAAATTGTATGTGTTATTACCCAAAGAAAAGCTGAAATTTGCTTCAATAATACAAGAGTATCCTTAAAATCATAGACTCTAAACAAGAATGTCTCAAACTGCACATAGTTGGAGATTTACAAAATCAAACCTATATATATTTTCCATGAAGCTTAATCTAATTCCATCCCTCTTCCTAACGAGGATGTCGGTTTTCAAGTTACCACAAAAGTTGATTCGAGGTATGAGAAAGGGTCTCTTTCCCCACTACACCAAAGTGTTATGTAGCGGCGTTTTTAGCGGCATTTTAAGGGAAAACGCCACAAAGTTTAAGCATATCGCGGCTTTTACATTCCAAAAGCCACAAAATGATACTTTAGCGGCATTTTTTAAACAAACGCCACAATAGAGTAGTAATTTAGCGGCGTTTATAGCAAACACGCCGTAATAGATACGTTAATAGTGGCGTTTTTTTAACAAACGCCGCAATAGAGTGGTAATTTAGCGGCGTTTTTACACAAACGTCGTGATAGTGTTATTTATAGTGGCGTTTTTTTAACAAACGCCGCTATAGAGAAGAAATTTAGCGGCGTCTATAAAACAAACGTCGCAAATAGTATTGTTTATAGTGGCGTTTATGCAAAAAACACCGCAATAGATTAATAATATAACGGTGTTTGTCTTACAAACGCCGCAATATGTTGTTTATCGTGGCGTTTTTATAAAAACACCGCAAAAATATGCACTACAGTGGTGTTTTTTTCAAAAAATGCCGCAAAAGGGTCAATATATGCTCCACACTTTTCTCTTGCCCAATCCCTAAAATCATTTCAGCGCTGCTTCCCTAAAAGGGATTTCTCTGGTACAACAATGACCCTCATAAGATTGCAGCCGACGTCGTCTTCTGTATGTCCTGGCAACTAGTTTTTTCCCTCTCACAAGCGAACAATTATATCACGATTGCACGGTTTGATCCCTTCTCTCACTACTGAACTTTTTCATTTATTTTTTTGTTGGTATTCTAAAAAATGGGGAAAACCCAGAAAGCTAACGTAGTGGAGAAATATAATAGCTTTCGAATAGGGAAATAATATCTATACATATTGTTTTACTGGTTTACTGCTTTGGAGAAGTGTTTTTTGCTTTCGAATAGAAAAATAATTGCTTTTGAAAATGTGAACAAATGATTGTGGTACAAAGAGCAGGTGTTGCATTCAGTAAGATAAATTATCGTCGTAATGTCCACGTGGCGTCTTTGCTCTGACGATGGATCAAATTATCGTTGGGAGGCTATCAGTCCGAACTTGCCGTCCAAACTCGATGATGACCCGAAAAGCCCTCCTATTGGAAAACACCCTTCCATGTCTGATCTCCTAAATGAAGGTAATAATTAATCGCTGAACGTTTGTGGCACTAATTTTTTTTTACTATAAAATTTCATATATCGCATGCATGTAGGATGTTCAAAGCTTATTGAGAACGATGATAAAGGAGTTGATAAATACCCGATGTTTAGAACCGAATGTGGTAACTCTGTGGCGTTAAAAGAATCTTCAATTACAAAAGCAATATCTATCCTCAATGAAGAAGACGTTGCCTCTACTGTTACTCCAAGTAAACCTTTATATCATCTATTTAAATTTTTTTAATGTTTGATTATGTTTCCAAGCCACCTCCAATCAAGTTTCATATTTTAGGTGGAAGGTCGTTATCTGTTTCAAGTGAAGCACTAAAGAGCGCATGGAGTCTTCTTGGTGAACCGGAGGTAGGGGATTTATTTGGTGAAATGGATGAAGAGTTTCTCTATATAGAGTTTTCACGGAGGAAAAACTTAACGATGCGTCGTCAAACAAGGAAAACAGCTTTTTTACGTACGTTCTTTCCCCACGAAGGAGCAATGAAGACTAAATTCTAGTGAACAATACTGTTAAGACTGTTTATGCATAACTTTAATGTTGGAGTGGATTTTAATGTATTTTGTTGTTAAGTAATTGTATGCATAACGTGTGTCTTAATTAAAATATATGGTTGTTGTTAATTACATTAAGCGTTATGATAGTAAATTAAGTTTATGTAGAGAAGAAATGAAATATTTAAAATCAATTAATCTTATATAAATAAAGGTAATTAACGGCGTTTTTATCAACAAACGCCGCTATAGACCACACTTTTACGGCGTTTGTATCAACAACGGCGCTATAAACCACAATTTTTTGCGGCATTTGTATAAAAAACGCAGCCATAAACCGCACTTTTGCGGCGTTTGTATCAAAAACACCGCCATAAACCCCATTTTTTTGCGGCGTTTGTATAAAAAAATGCCACCATAAACCACACTTTTGCGGCGTTTATTTCAAAAACGCCGCAATATGTTCATCCATTGTGGTTTTTTCCAACAAACTTCGTTTCAATGGAAATGACTTAGCGACGTTTTTGTATAAACGCCGTAATATAATATAACTTTAGCGGTGTTGTTATTAAAACGCCGCTATAGAGGGTTACTTTAGTGGCATTTTTAAACAAGAAACGCTGCTAAACATTTGGACATTAGTGGCGTTTTTATTCAAACGTGGCAATAGATTTAATATTTAGTGGCATTTTTAAAAAAATGCCGCAATATAATAGAACTGTAGCGGCGTTTTTAAGAAAACGCCGCTATAGAGACTTACGTTAGTGGCGTTTTGGTGCACAAACGCCGCGAAATATTTGGACATTAGTGGCGTTTTTGAGTAAACGCAGCGATAGAGTGAAACTATAGCAGCGTTTGGATTAAAAATGCCGCAACTTTCTATAAAACCCCCAAATTTTGCGACTGAGCCCTAGCCCTATTCTCTTCATCGTATTATTCCCCAATCTCTTGCTCAGTTTCCTTCATCAACCCTCACATCAATTTTCCACCATCGGCGACAGTCACAAAGGTAAGAACATCTTCCTCCACCATCGACCTTATCGCTCTTATTTTTTTATTTCTCCGCGTTATAAATGAGATAAGGTAAATGTGTTGTCTTCCTTTGGTTTGATTTATTCGCAACATTTCGTTTTGATTCATTTTGATAGAACTTAATTTCTATTCCGATTTTCTGCTTATTTCTTCATTTTGATTCAATGGGCCAATTCTTTTAATGCATTTTTAGAACCCATGTCCCGAAAAGTTGAATAATTTGATTTAATTGACTTTGTAATTTCTGCAATTTGTCCATTGTTTAAAATATTTTCTGCAATTCGTCTTTATTGCACAAGAATTGCTCTACATTGCCACTGAAGAGTGTAAAATCAGTGTTAATCAGAGCTGGACATTCTTCAAGGGTACATTCATTATCACTCTGTGTTTTTTCCTTTTTTGTACATTTTTAATACTTGCAAGAGGTGTATGTATTGGGATAATAATAAACAAATAAGTTAACTTCTAGGATGGTGGTTCCTACAAATCCTCCTTGGTAGCTGTTGTAATTGAAATGATAGAACATGTGTTGCTACTGACTTTTAGCCAAATAATAGGTTCTTAATGTCGTGAGTTTAAAATGTTCATTTTAGTAAACTTAGCTTTCATGTAATGCATGCGGTACATTATTTGATGCATCACAATATGCTTTTTTTTTGGAAATGATGTTCTAGAGGAATTTTATTGTTTGTAACATTTGATAAGACTCATACACGACTGTTAAGAGTATAAATGCTTAGGTGCGGTGGACATGCCTTCACTCTGACACAGCTGCAAGTAGTGCATTAAACTTACTTTGTTTTCCCCTGCTGTCTGTATTTTCTTTTACTGTTTTTCTTGTGATAATTAAATCGGGAAATATTGCATGAATTTAACATTAAGCATCTAGATGTGAATTTCATTGATAACTTTAAAGTTTTGAATATCCTTTGTGCCATGTCATGAAGTTGTTCTTGTTTTACGAGACAGAATAATTGGTCAAGTTCAATGAAGCAAAACATTTTGTTGTTTTAATAACATATCTTGTTACATAACTTGTGGAAATCCATTTTTATGATGATTACCACCATTTTAATTCATTTTGATGACACTTACCTTAGTCAAGCTGTTGAACTTAGATTCACCATTGTTTTGGAATTTTTTAATATGTTTCATCTACCCTTTCATAACATTTCTGTATATCTAGTTGATTATTAATGGTTTTGGAAGGATTTCTGTATATAATTAGGCTTTTACTAGAAGTTAATATTAGCTAACAAGTTTAGTTATTAGTTATTTGCCTTCATCGCCTCATATTTCAAGTCGAAAAGAAAGACCCCTAGAAATTGCTTCGTATAGAATTTGCCCATGACTTGATAGTTTGTAATATAATATCATATAATCTACAATATTCACATTTAGATTATCTTTATATTTTAATAGTTTAAATAGTTAATATTGTTAATTAATTTTATTAAAATGCTACTGTAATCTTTTTTTTCTTCTTAAAAGTACTAATTTTAATATAAAATTATATGATAATATAATGAATTAGGTTGATATGTAATGGATGGAATGATAATGATAATTGTGTGTATTGGTGACAGTTCTTTGTTTTTTTAATTTTTTATGATAAAAAGAATTCAGTTTCTGATCGAAAGAGAA